AGCAGTGCAATTTTTAGAGAGGTTTTTTTGAGTCATTGAACTTTTGCTCCGGTTTTTTATTCCCCTAAAAGGTAAGACTTTAAAAAAAAGGGCCACGAGAGTCTCTGCATTCTGCCATGCTCTTTCAAACAAAAAAAAAAAATTAAATGTCTAGAATGAAGACCCACAGAGAAAACTAAGATATACTAAAGAGCTATTTTTGTGAAACTCACGTATGTTTTCAAAGAAAATAGTGAGTGTAAGTTTTCAGTTCGAGGTTTGGCGGCTCCTCGTCTCCCCTCCCCTCCCCCACCCCATTACAGACACATGGCAACGAGAAAGAGAACATTACAGACAATCTCCCATTACAGACGTTGACAACTTTATGAAAAAAAAAATTTTGTATTCGAAATTGAGAGATAAAAATATAGGATTTCCTAATAATTGATTATGGTGAGAAAAGAACTATTATCTTCTTTTGGAAATTTTAAATATTGGATATTTTGTCATTAGTATAATGAAAGCAAAGGAGATATGTGAGTTCCACATATTCAGCCCTAAAGGGACTGCACTAACAAGCTTTTTTTTTGAGACTATAAAGTTATGTATTCGAAAGGTATTTATATATTAATTAGATGTCGTCTTGACATTGACGATATATGTATATTTCATAAACTGTAAGCTTTTTCTATGTTTTATTTTTTTGTAGAAATTGTAAAAGGATATAACTGTGTGCATAAGTATATATCGGTAAAGATATATATGTATGTATTACCAAAAGTATGAGAAGAAAAAAACAAAACGTATAAAGAAGATAAAACATTCACAACGCATATATATTATGTATCCCCTTCTATTATAAAGAAGAGATAAAAAAGGAAAAAAACAATGTCGAGAAAACAAATCAAAACTTGAAACGATGTTGATTTTTGCAAAACTTCAAATGAACGTTTCACATTTTTCTCTCTATGTGCTCTCTGGCTCTCTCACATTGTCTTCTCTTTTATTGTATCATTTTATTCTCTTGTTTTTCTCAATTCCAGTGATTCCATTACGTGGAAGTTCAATTGACATTCATCCAAATGCTCGATGGCAACAGAATGGTCTCATTATTGCTGGAGGAAATGGAAAAGGAAATGGAATCAATCAACTCTCAAACCCGTTGGGTTTGTATGTTGATGAAGATCAAACAATATATGTCGCTGATCAATACAATCACCGTATTGTGGAATGGAAATGGGGTGCGACGAGTGGCCAAGTGGTTGCCGGTGGAAATGGACAAGGCAGTGGGGCTCATCAATTGAATGAACCTCGAGATGTGATTGTCGACAAAGACAAAGATTGTCTAATCATCTCCGATTATTCGAATAGAAGAGTGGTTCGATGGCCTCGTCGAAATGGGACAAGTGGAGAAACAATCATCTCCAGCATCTATTGTGTGGGTTTGACAACAGACGAGAATGGATCTCTCTATGTCGTTGACTATGGTAATGATGAAGTGAGACGATATCGAAGAGGAGAATCTCAAGGAACAGTGGTTGCAGGTGGCAATGGAAGTGGAAATCGTCTCGATCAACTCTCTTTCCCACACTACGTATTCGTCGATCGAGATCATTCAGTCTACGTGTCTGATTGGAACAATCATCGTGTGATGAAATGGGTGGAAGGTGCAAAACAAGGCATTATCGTGGCTGGTGATCAAGGAGAAGGAAATGGTCTTACACAATTGTCATATCCTCAAGGAGTCGTTGTCGATCAATTGGGCACTGTCTATGTGGCTGATGGATGGAATCATCGAATCATGCGTTGGGCCAATGGAGCCAAACAGGGAATTGTCATTGTTGATGGAAACGGTAGAGGAGGACAATCGAATCAACTGAATAGGCCCACCGGTTTATCATTCGATCGACACAGCAATCTCTATGTCGTCGATTACGGAAATCATCGAACACAAAAATTCAACATCGAATCCAATAAATAACGGACTAAAGTAACTTGAAAAAAGAAAAAACTTTGTACACTATTTTTTTAATTGAAAGTTTATTATTTTTTTTTGAAAAAATAGAAAATAAAATGTGAGTACTAACTAATAATATATGACCCAACCCAGGAGCCCACCACGCCGAATTTTTTCAAGGTTTCCGAATCCTTGAAAAAATATCGAATTCCCTTTATATTAAAGTAAA